AGAGAGAGAGAGAGAGAGAGAGAGAGAGAGAGAGAGAGAGAGAGAGAGAGAGGCATATGAGACTTGGTGATTATGTTGGGCGGCGATCGGACTCGAGCTTGGCACTTGGACTGAAGACTATTTGGGGGATTTCGATAGAGACTATTATTGCTCAGTGGTTCATCGAGTAGCAGTCTTCTCTTCTTCTCCCTCCCTTCATATCCTTCCACCATCTTCTTCGTCTGTGGGATTATCTTGCCATGAGTGTGCATGGCGGCCCTATTTGTCTATGTATGATGCCGCCTTGCCATTCTGCATGATTATGTGTGCGTGTGTGAAGAAAAAGACGGATGGACGTTCATCTGAAGAACGACTCGCTGTGTTTCACCTGATAGAGTTCCTTTTTTGGTGGATTGCAGTGCACACCGGAATGTGTGTGTTCGAAGAACTTCTCATTAAATGCTAACATCTTTTGTGAGTTGCCTTCTCATCATGTGAGAATGTATGTTCTAAATGACTCGTCTTCTGAGCTTTGTCTGCACCAGGCTGACAACAGTGACAAGTCCTTGTGTCTCTCAAATTGTGGTGGTAAATGGTCGTGTGACTGTGTGTGCTTTGTGGCCATCGTTATGGAAACAGGAGGTGCGAACTGTGAGGTCTATGTGGACAGGTCTGTCTATGTGTAACAGCAGGATTGATTGAAAAGGACATCCGCGACCACCCCCGTGGCTTTGCAAGACAGGTCGCAGGCACAGTGGTACGCGTGAACTGAGTCCAACACGATGGAGTCTACGGCATGGCGGCTTGCAATCCGTGCTGCGCGTCAAGCTTGTTGGCAAATGCGGCGGTCGTACTCGGTGGGGTCGCTTCCTGGCAGAGTGAGTGGTGTTCAGCAGCAGCTTCGTCATGGCCCTCCGTCCCAGCTGCAGCAGCTTCGACGACTCAATGTGCATGAATACCAGGGCGCTGCAATAATGAGCAGTCATGGTGTGAATGTTCCAAGGGGTATAGTGGCGTCGACTGTGGAAGAGGTCAAAGCTGCTGCAAACAAGCTTGCGCCAGATGGTGGGGAGGTAGTCGTGAAGAGCCAAGTTTTGGCGGGGGGAAGGGGTCTTGGTGTTTTCAAGAATGGGTTCAAGGGTGGCGTACATATTGTTCCTGTTGAGGATGCAGACAAAACTGCGGCGAAGATGCTCAACCAGGTGCTCGTCACGAAACAGACTGGCGAAGCTGGCAAACCTGTGAACAAGTTGTTTGTCTGCGAAAGACTCTCTCTTGTGAACGAAATGTATTTTGCGATCGCACTCGACCGCGTAAGTGCTGGGCCGGTCGTCATCGCGTGTGCAAAAGGTGGGACGAGCATTGAAGATCTTGCAGAAAAGTACCCTGACATGATCATCAAGGTGAAGATTAACATCGAAGAGGGAATCACTCATGAGCAAGCAGTGCAAGTCGTGGAGGGGCTTTCGCCGAAACGCTGTGACAAAGCGGAGGCAGTCGAGCAGATCAAACAGTTGTACAATGTCTTTTCGAAATGCGATTGCACGCTTCTGGAAGTCAACCCTCTTGCGGAAACGGACGATGGGAAGATGGTTGCAGCGGATGCGAAGCTGAATTTTGATGACAATGCGGCGTTCCGTCAGAAGGAGATCTTTGCAATGAGGGACACGGCGCAGGAGGATCCCCGCGAAGTCGCTGCAAGCAAAGCAGACCTGAATTACATTGGTTTGGATGGAGAGATTGGCTGCATGGTTAATGGTGCAGGGTTAGCAATGGCGACGATGGACATAATCAAACTCCATGGCGGTACTCCTGCCAACTTCTTGGACGTGGGTGGCAACGCAACAGAGTCCCAAGTGGTGGAGGCCTTCAAAATCTTGACAGCAGATTCAAAGGTAAAAGCAATCTTGGTCAACATTTTTGGAGGAATCATGAAGTGCGACGTGATCGCGGCTGGCATCGTCAATGCTGCCAAGCAAGTAGCACTGCAAGTTCCCCTCATTGTGAGGCTAGAAGGAACGAATGTCGATGTGGGGAAGAAGATATTGAAGGAGAGCAAGATGCAGATCATTGCTGCAGAAGACTTGGATGATGCTGCAGTGAAAGCAGTCGCGTCCCTGCAGTAGATTAATCTCAGGAGTCTTTGATGGCAGTCCCTATTTGCTTCTACCCACTTCTCCCTATTTCACGCTGTCGACAAGGATTTGCGTTCATGTTTCTAGGCCTAGCTCTATTTGTTTTTATTTTATTTTTTCCCTTTGTTTAAGTTTTTTATCATTTCCCTGAACCGGCAAGTTAGTTTTCAAGGTTGAGAAAGCTATTTCAAGGAAGTCGGAGAAAGCGGCATCAATAAAATTCTATAGATTAGCTGCTGCTTACTTCCTCCTCCTCGTAAGAATGTTGTAGAGAGATTCTACCCTTGGTGGATAGCACTTTGTGTACATGTGTGCTTATGTCTTTTTCCGCTGCCTATTGCTTCATCGAGATAAATTGTCCTTCTCCTTCCCTACTTTTCTGCCATGCTCTGGCTGATGGAGATTCTGAAAGATAGCAGATATGCTCTGTGGAATGTGGCGTTTTTTGGCTGGGAGAGGTGTGAGGGGGAAAACTATGAGGACAGCAGCCCACCCCGCTCCTGAAATGGGCGTAATTTGGTGAAGGACCTGTTTTCTGAGCAGCAACCAAGTGGGTGAAGAGGGAGAGGACTCAACTTGGGTGCATTTTCCTCCTGAAATGGGCCTTATTTGGTTAAGGATCCCTTTGCTTGTGTGCTTTCAGCAAACTTGGGCATTCCCTGCCATTTCTTAAAGATTGGCTAATGAAAGGATGATAATCTCAGACCGAAGCAACTTCAGCTCACACTGAAATCTAGTCGCTGACTCTGTTTGTTCTTCTCCACTGGCCTCTGCAGAAAGTGATGGGTTGCATGATCGGTGTCGGTTTGTCAGAAGATGTTGTTGACTTGCAATTGCAGCCAAAGTCTAGGCCCTCATGCTGGACACGCCCTCGACTTGGTCTGCGGTCTCTTTTTTCCAAAAGCAGGGAGAACACTATAGGTTTGCTGATGGTTTCTCAGAGATAGCTACCTTCTTCACTCAAATAGAATGCCCGATCATTATCTCTGTATCTAGAAAGTGCAGCTGTAATGACCGGGCATTCTATTCAGGTGAAGACGGTAGTGCGGATAACAACACAGGCTGATTCTGCAGTTCTGTTTAGCTCATGGAAGTCCAAGGAAAATATCAATCACAGGCACCACTCATTGTGGAATTTGGGGGGGGGAAGGAGAAGAGAGAGAGAGGATGTAGTTGCAAGCAAAGATCGAAACCACAACAGATTTGGGCCTACCAAGGGTGGCTGGCCCCAGGGAGAAGGGCAGAAAATATTATCTTTTAGGGAGAAAGACACTACATTTTGAATATAAGATGAGGCTGGGAATCTTCTGGAAAGCCAGCTGCTGGCTTCATTACGCAGCCTTGGCTAGGCTGGGATCTGCTTCCAGCATCCCTTCAAAATGAAGCCTTCTCAGAGCAGAAAACAAAGCAACTGCACAACGCATCATGCAACAGAATTCGACTAGCAAAAATACAAGAGACTTGTCCCGGTCCTACGTAGTACGTACCCAGATGGCCCACTGAAAAGAACCAAGCTGACTCTATTTGAGTGTCCGCAGTTCGGGCGATTTGTAACTCTTATTTCCCTTGACAAAAGGCATGGAATTTTCTTGGATACAGGGAATGTGCTGCTGTATACACGGGGAGGGGGAGATTAGAAAAAGTGCAAAACAGAGAGTCCAGGAAAACCATTATGGTAGAGATGATGTAGAGGACTTTTGCCACCACACCTTCCCCTCCCCAACGGTTCGGTAATTCGAGCACGAGAGCCTTGGGCACTGGGCCCTGAGTAACAAAACAACATATAGAAATAGGGGTGGTCAAAATAGATCACTACAGCCTTGGGAACTGGGCCCTGGGTAACAAAAGGTTATAGAGAAAAAGACAATGGCTCTAGCAAGAAAAGCTATGTTACCAGGTATGGGCCCTGGGTAACAAAAGGTTATAGAAAAAAAGACAATGGGTCTAGCAAGAAAAGCTATGTTACCAGATATGGGCCCTGGGTAACAAAAGGTTATAAAAAAAAAGACAATGGGTCTAGCAAGAAAAGCTATGTTACCAGGTATGCCCTGGGTAACTAAAGGTAATAGAAAAAAAGACAATGGGTCTAGCAAGAAAAGCTATGTTACCAGGTATCCGATCACAGGACGCATGGGCTGGACGATTGGGTGGGACATCCAGGACCCAGTTGTCTGGAATTCCGGACAGTAGATCTTTGGCCAATAGGGGCGGCCCACATGTCTGGTGATTGCAGGTATTCCAGGCGCTTGAAGCGGGGACCCCAGACAAAGCCTGGGGTGCTTCGGAGGGGAAAACAGAAATAAGGCAGAAGCTCAAGCAGGTGCAGGGGTGTTAAAAGCAACGGCTGGGGCTGCTGTTGCTGCAGGCACCATTGCGGCAGCATTCCGATTGCAGGCACTGCTAATGCATGGACTGCTGCAGCAGAACCTACAGCACTGCCTGCGGGGAGAACCGAAAAAAAAAAGGCGGCCTGTTGCACCTGCAGCAACTCCGAGGTGTTTGCTGCAACCCCTGGAGCAGCGGTCGCTGCAGGCATTGCTGGTGCATGGGCTGCTGCACTAGTAAAAGGCCTGTGCGGCAGGTGCAGCAGTGTCTGCACCAACCGCTGCTGCAGCAGCTTTTGCAGTGGAAGCTGCAACCACGGGCCATCAATCTTCAAGATCTGAGGGCTCAAATTGTTCTTTTCCTTTTCCCGAGGCCCTACCAGCCACCACAAAAGAAAAATCCAGGAACTTCTTGGTA